CATCCTGAGCCACCAGCAATGATGGATCCCTCCATCCCTGCATCCCGAGCCACCAGCAATGATGGACCCCTCCATCCCCGCATCCTGAGCCACCAGTGATGATGGATCCCTCCATCCCTGCATCCCCAGCCACCAGTGATGATGGATCCCTCCATCCCTGCATCCTGAGCCACCAGCAATGATGGATCCCTCCATCCCCGCATCCCCAGCCACCGTGGCAACCGCGACCGAGGTTTCTCGGCCTCGCTGGGAGGACCGGAGCGCGTCTCCTTGGTAACAGACACGTTGCCAAACATCCCTCCAGCATTTTCCCTGCCAAACATCCCTCCAACATGTTCAGTGCCTCAGAAAAAACACGACTTGGGCCGCCTCGAAGCGTTGGCACAATCTGACCACATCGTTGGGCAAAAGGGCCACCTGAAGCGCCCAGTTCTTGGCCCACAAGTGGACAGACCTGTGGGGCTGCATCTCCTTCACGGAGCTTTCTCTACTCACCCGTGGTTTCCACGATGCCCTCCAGGATGACGACAATCTCGAACTGCTCCGTTTGCATGCTGCGCTGGGAGAGGTCGTAGAAGGGGCTCTTGGCATCTATCACGTGGCAGATGGTGAGCGGGGACACCAGGAAAAGCTGGTCGGCCCCCGTGCTGAAGCCCACGTCCAGCTCCAGCTGGTCCAGCGGCAGGAACTCACCCTCCGGGGTCTGGCGGGACTGGACAGGCAGCGAGGGGAGAGACAGAGAGAGAGAGAGATCACCACTGGAGCAGCCATCCCTGAGGCATCCCAACAGCATCCCCATGGCATCCCGATGGCATCCTGCATCCCTTGCACCATCCCTCACACGGCCATGAAACAGGTGGAAGCCCAGCGTTGGCCATGCACAACAGGGATGGATTATTTCTAACACACAACTTACTGCACTTGCAGCTCACGGCCACCAACACAAATCATAGAATGGGTTGGAAGGGACCTTCAAGACCATCCAGTCCCAACCCCCTGCCCTGGGCAGGGACACCTCCCACCACACCAGGTTGCTCCAAGCCCCCTCCAACCTGGCCTTGAACCCCTCCAGGGATGGGGCAGCCACAGCTTCTCTGGTCTCACCACCTTCAGAGGAATCTCCCCTCAAGATCAACAAAAATTCACAAAATCCATGCTGCAACCCAGCAGGTGACCACCTCCAGGGTCCATCCCACAAGGGATTGTCCATCAAGGCCTTGCAGAAAGTGGCAGCAGATGATCAATTACCAGCTTTTCCCATAAGAGAAAGTTCCCTGGTGCCAACTAGTCAGCCCCAAATCAGATGAACACACACTTCTCCAGGGACACTTTGAGATCCCTGCCCTTTGGACAACAGGAGCCTGGAGAAGGGGATGCTGTTCCACCTTTAGCTGCCCTCTAAGATGCTACAAACCACGATTTAACAGCTACAGAAGTCCATAAAAATCACATCTGGAGCTGAAACCTCAAATCCAGCGCTCTGGTTCGTGCGCTTCACATCCCTGCCACCAGCAAACCCCTGCCCAAACACTCCCTTCCCTGGTTTTTATTCCCACCTTTTCTTTCTTCTCCCCGTGTGGTGAATAGGCAGGAACAGACCACTGCAGCCCTTCCCCAACGTCATTCTTACTACAGAATTTTCCATTTCTGTTGGAGAACTCGCCATTAGTTGCTGCTTGGGGTTTTAAGGGGAAGTTTTGCCAACTGCTGTATCCCTCAGGCACAGCCAAACCCCCAGCGTGAAGTCGCTGCTCGAGAAGCATTTCCATCCTTACATGGAGCAACACCACTCACCTCAAATGGCATTTCTTTATATTTCCTTTTTTTTAATAGGAGCCCGATTACACTTAATAGAAGGGTGATCTTTCCAGGAGCAACACCACTCACCTCAAATGGCATTTTTTTTATATTTCCTTTTTTTTTTTTAATAGGAGCCCCATTACACTTAATAGAAGCGTGATCTTTCCGCTAACTTTTCCTCTAATTCTGTTTCCATTCTTCTCATGTATGTGATTTGGGACCGAGTTGAGGAGGAGGGGGGATGCAAAGGGACCAGCACAACCATCCCCCCCAAGACTATCACCAGTGCTCCCACCAGTGACACCACCAGCTCCCAGGGAAACCCAGTCCTGTCCCCCCAGTAAAATGCACTGGGAGCTGGGAGGATGCTGGGTGCATCCCCTGGGGCAGGGGTGGGGGGGGTGCAAGGGGTGCATCTATGGCTGAGCCCCCCCAAAAAGGGGGTCAGGATGCTGACAGCAGAAGACAGCCGACAGAGCCAAACCGGATTACGCGCCTCGCTCGGGATTTGGTTTCTATTTTTAATGTTTCCCCCCCTGAAATGGCGGCTGGATCCGAAGGAGATCCAAGCCCAAACAAACGATCCCACCTTTCGCTGCCCCGAAGTTCTGGGTTTGAGATTTTAGGCTTAAAATTCCCGGCGTGTGAAAATTCAGAGAGTTATCACACCTGCCTCTGCTACCCCCCCCTCCCCTCCCCGGCAGCCAGTTCCAGAGAGAAGACATCAGAGCCAAGAAACATCTAGAGCACATCTGCATAAATAGCCTGCCGGCGGGGTTTTGTTTGTTCTTTCTTGAGAGAGGAGTCTACTTTTCAATGAAAAGACAAAAAAAACCACCGGCAAAGCACCAAACGACACCCGTAAGGAGGGCAAGGAGCTGCTCTGAGGAGGGAACTGCCTCCACCAGGCATCCCGTGCCCCAACGATGTCCTTGTAGCCATGGAGGAAGCCAAGGCTGGCCCATTTCTGGGTGACGTTGTCACTCTGGGGACACCAAGACCCCCCCCGGCCCGGCTCGGATGTAGCTTTGGGACAGAGGGAAAAGGTGGCCCTGGGTCAGAGCTGACGAAATGCAATTAGGAGTTGTATGTGGCAGGCTTAATTATGAAGACTAATGGTTTGGGGAAGACTTTTTTAAGGGCTGGTTGTAAAATCGTTGCTAGTTCTGCCCTCGGCTCCTCTGTCGAGGTCTCCAGCTGCCACCGTGACTGTCCAAGTAATGTCCATCCACTCCTCCATGGATGCTCTCTGAATATATGGGGATATATATAGGATATATACGGGGATACCTAACCCAAAATCTCAGTCCCAACCCACCAGCCAAGAGACCCCTCCCAACGAGGAGAGAGGATGACAAAGCAGGGTGAACTATGATTTTGGAAAATAATAATAATAATAATTCTTATATAATGGGCATCTTGAGGATGAAAAAGAAAAGTTAAAGACAACGCAGTACTTGAGGGACATGGAAAAATTCAGAGAAACTGGGAGGAACATCAAAAAGGTGAGACGAGGTGAGCTGTGGTACCCGAGGGACCCTCCTCCTCCTCTTCCTCCTCCCACGACTCACCCTGGGACTCCTGGGATTCCCAGGAAATCCCAGCACCTCCCTCACAAAAAAAAAAAAAAACAACAAAAAAACAACTTATTTTACAGCTGCAGTAAAATCAGGTGTCACATTATTCAGCTGCGAAGTTGTATACACAAAGTGTGATTACTTCTGCTGAGAGAGAATTGGGATAAAGATGGAGAGCTGCAGTGTTACAGACACCCCAAATATTATTTTACAACTACCCCTGTGCTACGGGCAGCGTTCAACCCCAGGCGGGGAAAGGGAGGGGGACTCCTGCTGTTGGCTGTTTGCTATTCCAGCCAAGGCATTTGGGGGAAGAAATGACCTTGAGTGACTCCTTTGACTCAGTACAACACAGGCAGGAAAAATACAGGGCTTCCAAGTTTCACCCAAGTTCTTCACAATCTTGGCGATGGCTGTTTGCTATTCCAGCCAAGGCATTTGGGGGAAGAAATGACCTTGAGTGACTCCTTTGACTCAGTACAACACAGGCAGGAAAAATACAGGGCTTCCAAGTTTCCCAAGTTCTTCAAAATCTTGGCGATTTATTAAAAAAAAATAAATAATAATATGACAATGAAAAAAAAAAAAAAATAATAATAATATGACAACGAATGGGTCTTTGCACTGACTTGCCACTTTTAGGGTTTTATATTTGTGGTTTTCCTCCAGTATAGTCTGAGCTTACCAGGGGAAAAAATAAAAAAAATGAAAAACAACATATCGGGATTTCCAATTCTACACAGATTTTGCAAGCAGAATTATCTTTTACCAGAAAAAAAAAAAAAAGCCTTTCAGCAGAAAATCTGCGAGCAGCCCTACAATCAACTCTGCCCTCCTGGTTTTGCCCCAAACCTGCAGGAAGGGTTATGTGTAACCCAGAGCAGAGCCACCCAGGCAGCAACAACCCCCCTGCCACATATTTGTCCTCCTGCGAGACGGAAAGACCGTCTGTGTGTGGCAGCCCCCCAGAATTACATCCTTCTCCCTGCTCCAATCTTTTTTTTTTTTCCTTCCTTTTTTTCCCCCCTTTTCCCTTTTTCTTCCTTTTTTCCCTTTTTTAAATATTTTTTCTCCTTTTTCATTTTTTCTTCCTTTTATTCCTCCCCCTTTTTTTCCTTTTTTTTCCCCCTTTTCTCCTTTTTTTTTCCCTTTTATCTCCCCTCCCTTTTTTCCTTCCCCCCACGTTTTTTCCTTTACTTTTTTCCCTTTTTATATCTTTTTTTTTTTTTTTTTGGCCAGGAGGCCTGGCCTCCCCCAGCCTCCCTCCTTTGCTCCCCTTTCCCCCAGCACCAAAAGCCTGTGCTGTGCCAAGACCTTTGGCAGGGGATGCACAGAGCCAGCTCTAACTGTATCCGCTGAAAAAAACCACATTTTAGCCCTTTTTTCCTCTTCCCCCTCTCCCTCCACATTCACAGCTGCCCGTGTCCATGAGCTGGGAAGCTTTGGGCTGGGAAAAGGCAGGCAAGGGATGCTGCGGGATGCCTGGGGCACTGTGGAAAAGTGGCCTTTTCCCTTTCCTGCCCCAAATGAAGCCCCCAGGTCACAGGGACAGCTCGTTCTGCAGGGTTCCCCAGGCTCATTTTCACACACCTGCAAATCCTTCACCCCCCTGACTCCAGCCCCAAAGCAGAAGAAAGGACAGCCATGAAGCGGCTCTTCCACGGATTTAAAGTTCAGGACATTCCGTGGAGCCACACTAAGTTTTACACTCCAACTTTTAAAAATTCCCCTCGCTGCACCTCTGGAAACAAAAAGAGGCTAATATCAAAAATTTGTAATTGGAAATCGCTCATTTTGATCCCTCAAAACTATTAAAAATGTATGTGAAATGAGAGGTCCAACCTCTCCCTGGTCTCATCACAGGAGGCAGTTGGAGGGGTCACCGTGGTGCCCCCTGAGGACCAGCTGATTGCTGACCCGGCTAATTGCACATCAATTTACCCCTCTAAACTTCTGACAGGAGGAAACAATCAAGGCTGGCTCCTACCAGGGAAAAGTGTAACCGAGATTCCAGTGGATTATTCCAAAGGAAAAGAAGAGGAACAGATGCCTCTGGGTCAGAGCTGCAGCGAGAGGGTCTTCACCCAACGTCGGTCCCCGGCAGCGAGGAGACAAATGAAATTATGGAGATTCTTTAAATTCCTCTCCCCCCCGGCTTGTTGAGTGTGGGTGCTACCCCTCCTTTTACCACACACTCCTCCTGCTTTAGGGTCCTGCAGCCCCCACCAAACACCGCAACGATCCTGCCTACAAAACCCCACCAGGAAACACGGATTTGGGCCAAAACATGACAACTTCAGGAGCCTCCAAGCAAACACATCTTGCACTTCACTGGATCCAGGCACAGCAGGTGGGGGATGAGCATCCCTCCAAGGGGGGCAGCCAGAGGAGCGGGGAAGAAAGCAGGACAGCTCCCCAGGTGGGGTGTCATCCTTCCCTGGGCAAGGGGACCCCACAAAGCATCACTCTGAGGGCAGAGCATCTACCCCGAGGGCTGGGTACCACATCCCCTGCACAGCATCCACCCCAGGGGCTGGGTACCACATCCCCTGCACAGCATGTGCCCCAGGGGCTGGGTACCACATCCCCTGCACAGCATCCACCCCGAGGGCAGGAAACCACATCCCCTGCACAGCCAGGGAAAGATGCAGGGTGCTCTGCATGCGTCAAACGGCAGCCGAGCCAGCCCCTTCCACCCACTCCACATTTATTTTGTCTCCCCTATGAATGCCGTCGTAGCAAGCCTCCAAAAAAACCCACTGCTCAGCTTTCCCTGGACACACAAGGCCATTAGCAGGATTTTTAAACGTCTAACCCTGGCATTCTGCTCCCCATGAAGTTCACCCACCATATAAATAAAGTTCTGCCTGACTGGGCTCCCCGTTGCCCCAAAGCACAGAGATATGCCAGAGAGGCAAACAGCTTCCTTTTAAAAATGCACACCAAGGAACTGGAGCTATAAGTATTTGCTTGTCAGAGAAATGTAGCATTTCAGAGGAATATATAAATATGCATGTAAACCCGGTGCCGAATATAACCGTTACCCTGCAAGGCTGCCAGTAAATCAGAGGGCTGAGGATAAATCTGAGCCTGAAGAGCATCGCAGGGACACGGAGACAGCCCTGGGCAGGAGTGAGGGATGGAAGGGGCCAGCCCAGAGGTGGGGACATCAGGGGGACAGAGGGACATCCCCAGGGGCAGCGGGGACAAGCGTGGCAGGCAGGACACTTACTTTGAGCAGCTTGCAGCGGATCTGCGCGGAGACCATGTGGCTGTTACGGAGGTTGCCCACCCTGAACATGAGGGTGAGCTTGCCGTCCCGCATGGAGATGGCGGCGTGCTCGCTGAACATCAACGTCTCGGCCCTCTTCTTGGGCTGGGACATCTTGATGAACATGCAGCCGATGAGGAAGGCGTCCACGATGGAGCCCAGGATGGACTGGAAGAGGAAGAGGATGATGCCCTCGGGGCATTTGTCCGTGATGTAACGGTACCCGTAGCCGATGGTGGCCTCGGTCTCGATGAAGAAGAGGAAGGCGGAGGGGAAGTTGTAGACGTTGGCCACGCAGGGGGTGTAGCTGTCGTCGTGCGCCTTGTTGAGGTCCCCCCGCATGTAGGCGATCACCCACCACATGGAGGCCATGAAGAGCCAGGCCACCGTGTAGGTGAGGATGAAGATGAAGAGGTTCCAGCGCCACTTGAGGTCCACCAGGGTGGTGAAGAGGTCCGAGAGGTACCGGCTGGTCTCCCCCCCCAGGTTCCCGTGCTGCACGTTGCACCGCCCGTTCTTATCCACGAACCGCTGCCGCTTCCCCCGCGGGGCGGCCCGGGGCGGGGGCAGCCCCCCTCCGCTGGCCGAGGTGCTCACCACCTGGTACTCGTCCCCCAGCTTCCTCCGCAGCGCCGACATGCTCCGCGCTGCTCCGCGCTTCTCCGCGC